TTGGTTACGCATAAGTCATACATAATTCAAATGGCATTCAAGTTTAAAAGTTTAAAAGAAGATATTCAATCAATTCAATAAATGTTGAGTCAATAAATCAATCAGTTATTACATGAAAATAAAAAAAGCCTCATTACAAAAGAAAGGAAAAAACGTCTAACCAAAATTCAAACTATTACTAGCCGTCTGTCTTCATTTGATAGTGTTCATTGGAGAGTAGATTTTGCTTGTTTGAGTTTTGACATTTTTGCTTGAGTGGATGGTCTGGCGGAGTGGCTGCCAGTCTGTCTGTGTCCTTTTATTGGAGGTGGGGAAGGGGTGGGGTCTGGGCTGGGCTGGGCTGGAAACTGGGAATCGTGATGGTGCTGGTGCTGGTGCTGGGGCCGGGACTGGAGACCAGGGGTTGGTGCTGGTGCTGGGGTCTGGGAAAAAAAACAGGAACAGCGAACTGGGGCTGCTGCAGGTTCTGGGTCAGGATATGGGTCTGTGGAGGGGAGGAAAGACAACCTGAGGACCAATCAGACACGCAAGGGAACCCTAGACCCAGAGGTCAATGGTAGTACTACCCTGTGGTCTGCTCGCTCCGGGTGAAGGTCTGGTCTGTCCCCTCCTCCGTTCCTCGTCTGGTGCTGGGACTGGTAATGGATCCCGGGATCTGGATTGGTGCTGGTGTTGGATCTGCATAGGGGAGGAATGACAAGCTGAGGAGTAAGCAGGCACAACAAACTGAAAGGGTGCATACTGCTATCTAGAGTGTTGTTTGAACAGGTATAAAGCCAAGGATGGCGTTTTACTGCCACTTATAGTTATGGTATGTTTGCTCACAAGTAAAATGTATTGGCTGATCCCTCCTGATGACCCAGATGGAATCATATGATCCTTCCTTCACCCATAGAAAGGCCCACCCAGTTCGCTACTTTAAAATGGTGAATCCCTCAATGGCAATGTCTACGCCAAAACGAGTTTCATCCATCTATAGTCCTCTAGCTAACTCTATGGTGGTAAATTCCCACTTTGTCATGAATGTAGCGTCATATAATTCACAAACCAGCACCTGTCCGGATGTGGACGTGGCAGACAGCTACGACGCTTCCGGTGCGAATGTCCGCTTGGAGAGAAACCAGAGAAGGGATTAGTGAAACATCAATCCCGGGACGACATCGCTGTGAAGTGTTTGACGTCCACCGGCCTTCGGAACCGGTTCTGAACAGGGAATAACCGTCTGCTTGGCTAACTTGTTATTTTACCCAGTTGGAGGTGGGTTGTCGAGTTGTACGGTGGTGCAGTGTGTGACATTCCTTGAAAGAAAACAGGATTAGGATTCCGTGGTAGTTCTAGCTAGCTACTGAACCTGTGCGTTAGAGATCTCTCTAACGCCCAGAAAGCTCTGATTCAAACTCCCATTCAACAGTTCTGTAAGCATTATAATGTCAAAATACTATCGTAATTTACTCCCGTTACGGCCGGTATGTACTTTTTAAAAAAAAGTGTAAATAAAAATGTACAAACCAAAAAATTCATTTTCAGTTGTTTGTACATTTTTATTGAACGTTGGACCTTTTTTGGAAGTACATACCAGCCGTACCGGGCTTTAATTAAAATATTTGCTCAGCGAAACTCCGTATTTGCTGATCAACAAACGTATTTTGACGTAATAAAGCTTGTAGAGATGGCGAATGGGAGTTTGAATCGGAGCTTTCTGGGCGTTAGAGCCAGAGGTCCAACGCACAGAAACTGGTTCTGCTAACTACATACTAATTTAACTAGCTACATAACTAGCAGGATAACCACAGCCGATTCTTCTTTTCATGATTCAACAACGTGTTTAAATTAGGCCCAAACTCTCAACTAGCTGACAGGAAGGTTAGTACCTTTAAGTTTCGACTGAAGACGCAGTGTATAGAAACTGAAATATGATTGTTTCGCTGCCTGGTCAGGACCATTAATAATAATTTAGCTAGCTAGGTCAAATGCGACACATTGGTTGCTTAGGTTAGCTAACTAACCGCGCTAGCTAATCTTGCCTGGCTAGCCAGTTCACCTAAAACCCCCAAAACCTCTCCTGCCTTGTCCTTTTGAAGTTTTCAATATACTCTCGTGGGCTGTATTGATCACGTAATCTAAGCATTTTGAACGAGAATCAGTTGCTAAACAGATTTAGCTAGCTAATTAGATAGCCAGTCGTAACGTTAGCTAGCTACTGCACGTTCGACAGTTTTTTGCTAACGCCTCTACGGCGAAGATGGGTCATTCAACAGGCCTGTAACGTTCATAGATACACGGATCCAACGGTATTGTATTTCTAGCAGTGGCAACTGCTACTTTGAATTATTTAAAGAGCTGCGTTGGATGAACCCGTGTTTGTCATACGATAATATTGGTACACCAGCTAACAAGCCAGCCAAGGTAACCTAGTAACGGTAGTAGCTAGCGAATTCCGATGAGGCTAGCTAGCTAGTCAATGAGTTATCATCAATTATTTAAATATCATGGTCAGGTCTTGTCAGAATATGTTGGTGCCTTTAACCTGCTCGTTTAACCTTTAAGAAAGACATGTTGTAAGTGAATGAATGCTCAATAGCCAGCTATGGTGAATTTACTCTCAGCTACTAGTTTGCTATCTGTCTTGTTGACAAGTGGGTGGTGTAGCTAGGCCTACTTTTGGTGTTCAGAGGACAGGACACTAGCATAGACTAACTCTGGAACTACAGGCTATCCATTATATGGCAGCCTGTCAGCCTAGCACATGACGTTTGATTGAGCATTGTTGTTCAACGAGGTCTGTTGATTGAGCAGAGATTGATCCTACTTGTGTTGTATAGCTAGGGTTGTATTGGTGGCGCACAAATAGAAATGAGGTCAGGTCTGTTAGGTGTGTTTAAAAAAAAAAAAATGGAAGTGGGGAAACGACATTCTCCTGTTTGGCAAACTCAGAATACCATGTCAGGCCTGTAGTAGGATGATTTTTACGCTCGTACCTGTATCCGGGTTGAAAATGGCAGATTTGGATACTGATAAACACCTACATTGGAAGGACAGTAATATGCTATAGTACATAACGTGAGAGCTCACGGTCTCCGCTTCACAGCTCTGTATGGGTTTTGTCTAAAATCTATCTGAACATGAGCACCACACGCGACAAGAAGTTGCCCCCTCCCTCCCGCTAACTGGGCAACGTTTGCACATGTTTTGTTGTCTGAGTGAGGGATATGCTGTAAATTACAAGGATGACATTATAATGGACCGTTTTTGGATTGTGTAAACAACAGTAATTGTGTAAAGATGGGATGCGCGATGTTCCAAACAAAACAACTACAAGTGTGCTTGGTCTGGTTCCTCAATGGCACAGCTAGGAGAGCGCAAAAAAGCACCTTATAGTTGAATATTATTTTTTTAGTCATAAAAGTGCATTGAAATTACTTGGAATCTGTGCACACTTTGGAGAGGTGTGTGTGTGGCCACTTGGAAACACCATTTAGACCTCTCACTCAAACCCTTGTCATTTTTTTGTCCTATGTTGCACCTTCCCCCAATTTTCCAGGAATAATGTTATGTTACTGAATGTATCCAGAGTTTTCAGATTTCGTTATCAACAAATGTAGCAAAAAGTACAGTAAATGTAAAATGCACAAAATCAACAGTGTAATGTTTGGATCCAGTCTTGTCAGGTTAACTGGTGTGTCCTCATTTTAAGTCTAATTTACTTTTTATTGCTACCATGGTTATGCATTTGCTTTCCATATTTCTTCTGTAAGAAACATTTCAATTTAGCCCTATCCATATAGGCCAATTCCCATGAGCGTACAGTGTGTACTAAGGTGTATTGTGAAGGCGTGGTCCAGACAAACGGTGTACAGAGCTGATATAGGTGTTTTTTCTGATTGTCACAGGGAATGTGACTCAGCTATTATAGACATATAGTACCAGTCAAAAGTTGACACGTACTCATTCAAGGGTTTTTCTTTATTTTTAACATTTTCTACATTGTAGAATAATAGTGAAGACATCAAAACTATGAAATAACATATATGGAATCATGTAGTAACTAAAAAAGTGTTAAACAAATCAAAATATATTTTATATTTGAGTAAAAATAAAGAAAAACCTTTGAATGAGTAAGTGTGTCCAAACTTTTGCCTGGTAGTGTATGTCAGTGTAGCTGTCCACAGGCTATATCATCTCATGTTACTGTAGCTACAAGCCGTTCAGCACATTGACTAGGTTTTGGACTGGGTATGTTGCTAAACAAGACCTGGGCTGCATCTCAAAACTCTAGTGCTTTTCTCTACTCTGCACTGATCAAACAACAAATGATAGGCGAAATAAATATGGTGGATGGTCTCTTGGATTTCTCTCGCAGCTGTCCAGATCGTCTACATCAGTGTCGATGGAGAGCGAGACCAGGAGGCTATTGAGATGCTGCAGCACAGTACTGACTCCATTACACAGGGGCTGGCCTGGTTGTGCAGAGTGGGCATATATACTCTCTAGAACCAGGGGAACCCAGACTGGTAGGGGAACCTTAGTGGGTACTACATCAACCTGAGCACACTCTTTTCACCTTGACTCCTACTTATCTCAGCTCCAATAGCAAGGGCTCACTTCCAACTACAGGGATTGCTACCCTAACGAAGCAGGGCAGCCCCTCGGGGCTCAACGCTGACCTCTTTTTGCAAGGAGCACGTGCACCTAAATTGAAAAATGTAGGAGCACACAGAGAAATTCAGGAGCACAATGGAAAAATATTTGAGGTAATAAAGCTAGAATCCTTAATTTCTCTTGGCTCACTGGATACAAATTCCAAGTCGCACAGCTAAATATTTTGGTGCATATGCGAGTAAAATGGTGGCACTGTAGAGCCCTACCCCTGGAACTTCAAAAGATTCACATTGTTATCCCAGTCTAGTATTGTTAGGGCAGTGAAGTTGATGTATAAATCAAACCCTGCCCCGGGAGCTAAATGCATGTTAACCTCTCCCAGCTCTAGGTATGAACTGAGAATGAATGTGAACCAGCAGCCTCCCATGGCGTCTCCCTACGGCCAGCCCCAGCCGGGCTACGGCCAGCCCAACTACGCTCCCCTGGGTGGCGGCTACCCTGGCCCCTACGGACCCTACAACGGCCCAGCTACAGCCTACCAGCCTGGGGCTCCACCACAAGGTAAGTCTGTCCCTCTTTCCCTAACCCTATCCCTCTGGTTCGCTTCTTCCCTCTTGCAAGGGACTGTCTGTTTCTGTTCCTCCTCCCACAAGCTGGCTTGCCTTCTGCAAGGTAGAGATTGTCTCTGTGCCCATCGCAAAGTTTACTCTTTGCCTTTCCTGCGTGTGTGTGTGTGTGAGAGAGAGAAATGTAACTAAACCTGTTTGGATGTATTTGATTGGAGCAGTGTGAATGCGTGAGCAAGCTATGCGTGCATGTGTTCCTCCCCCCGGCTTTCTGCATTTCTCTTCCTGTCTCAGTACACAGTGTCTTCCTCTCTTCTTGTCTTTCAGGTTACTGTACATATGCCAGCTTTCCCTCGAAGGCTGTGGCAGCTAACCCAGTCTCTGCCCTGTCCTCTCCTCTTGACTTGGGTAACTGCTTTCTCTCTGTTCCTTCTACAGAGAACAATGGTTCTCATGAACCACTTAAAGTTCCAAATCTAAGATGTAGCTTTCTCACACGACATGACATTACCTTCAAAGCATTCAAAATACCTCCGCATACGGTATACCGCCCGACCTTACCTTAGGATGACTTTAACTTTACCAACTGGTGAAGCTATGTGGGTTTTTCTGGCTGGAAGTAATCCTACCTTTAACGTTCTTGTGTTGATGACATAACATTCATCATAGTGGATGACACAACTTTCAGAATGCATCCGCTGTGTTTCAAACCTGTCGTCATTGCAGGCAGGTGCCTAACAGCCTCTGCCTCCCTTCCTCCCTCTCACTCAGGATCTGCCAGGGCCCCCCCTACCTCTGTCTCCACTCCCCAGGCCTACTCCCAGTATGCCCAGGGAGACATTCAGAATGGACCCCCATCTATGGATCACTCTATGGCTCAGCCAGCTCACAGGTCAGACAACACACATGAATAGTATTCAGTAGACAACGGTTGTGTGTGTCCAGATAGCTGTGTGAGTGTGTGTGTCCAGATAGCTGTGTGTGTGTCCAGATAGTTGTGTGGTTGGTGCCAAGTGTGGTGTGTGGTCCAATATGTGGGTTGTGTCCAGATAGTTGTGAGGTGTGTGTCCAGATAGTTGTGTGAGTGTGTGTGTGTCCAGATAGTTGTGGTGTTGTGTGTGTGTGTCCAGATAGTTGTGAGTGTGTGTGTGTCCAGATAGTTGTGTGAGTGTGTTGTCCAGATAGTTGTGAGTGTGTGTGTCCAGATAGTTGTGTGAGTGTGGTGTGTCCAGATAGTTGTGTGGTGTGTGTCCAGATAGTTGTGTGAGTGTGTGTCCAGATAGTTGTGTGTGTGTGTGTGTGTCCAGATAGTTGTGAGTGTGTGTGTGTGTCCAGATAGTTGTGTTGTGTGTGATGTTGTGGTGTGTCCATAGTGTGTGTGTGTGTGTCCAGATAGTTGTGTGAGTGTGTGTGTCCAGATAGGTTGTTTGTGTGTGTGTGTTCCAGATAGTTTGTGTGTGTGTGTGGTGTGGTGTTGTGTGAGTGTGTGTTTGTCCCAGAATAGTTGTGTGTGTGCGTGTGTCCAGATAGTTGTGTGTGTGTCCAGATAGTTGTGTGTGTGTCCAGATAGTTGTGTGTGTGTCCAGATAGTTGTGTGTGTGTCCAGATAGGTGTGTGTGTGTCCAGATAGGGGTGTGTGTGTGTGTGTGTGTCCAGATAGGGGGGTGTGTGTGTGTGTGTCCAGATAGGGGGGTGTGTGTGTGTGTCCAGATAGGGGGGTGTGTGTGTGTGTGTCCAGATGTGTGTGTGTGTGTGTGTGTCCAGATAGGTGTGTGTGTCTCCAGATGGTTATATGTGTGGTCTACGAAGAAAGGTGTGTGTATGTGTACTGAGTTGTTTGTGTGTATGTGTCCAGGCCTCCAGTGTCTCAGCTGTATAGCCAAGGCGCTATGAACTTGTCTGGGCCACAACCCTCCTACCCCCAGCAGTACGGGGTGCAGCCCCCTATGCAACAGGTGACCAATCAGATGTCAGGGATGCAGATCGGTTCAGGCCCCCTTACCTCTGCTGGGCCAGGATATGGTAAGAAATAATAAATATTAATCAATTGATGAATTTCGTGCCGAACTTTGCACCTACTAAACACAACTCTAGTTACCGATTCTTGCTGAATTTTCTGTTCTCGCTCCTTCACCAGCTCCGCCTCCCAGCTCCCAGCCTCCAATCAGTGCTGCCTACTCCGCTGCAGCACCTCCCTCCTATACACAAGCTCCTCCCCCAGTGTCTGGCTCCCCCTCCCAGCCTCCCCCTCCCAGTGAGCCTGCAGCCCCCCAGCCTTACTATGGTGGGCCTCCTCCCTCTCACCAACAACCCTTCCCCTCCTCCTCTCCATACTCGGGCCCTCCCCCTTCCAGCCAACCTCGGGCCCCTGCAGTCTCTCAACAGCAGTCCTTCCCACCTGGCCCCCCTCCCCCTGCTCAGCAACCCTTCCCCAACTCTGCCCCTCCTCCAGTATCCCGGGCCTCATACTCTGGCCCCCCTCCTCCCATCCAGCACTCCTTCCCCCCCAGAGGCCACCCTCCCTCCTCCCAACCTGGTCCTTTCCCACCTACCTTTGCACCCCCTGCCCAGTACCCTGCCCCCCAGCCCCCGTCCCAACCCGGGCCCCCTCCCTTCCACTCTGGCCCCCCTTCTCAAGGCCCCATGCCACCTCCCTCCATGTCCCAGCAGCAGGCCAACCACCTTCCCCCCGGCCCCATACAGCAGCCCCCCATGCAGCAGCCTCCTCAGCCTGGCATGCAGGGAGGATACCCACCCCAGCAGAATGGTGAGTGCACCACTTTCAAACCCCTGTACAACTTCCACTAGACCGCTGGCTTGCTTTTGGCAAGAGTGGATGTGAAAACCGTTTGCTAGCTAATAAACATAAGCCCACCCAGTAGAGTTTATAATCGATAAATATTTTGCTCCCTAGGTGCGTTTGGGCAGCCCGTAGGCCCCCAGACTGGCTATGCAGGTCCGCAGTATCCCGGGCAACAGAACTACGGCGCAGGCCCTGCCCCTGCACCCGCACAGAAGAGACTGGACCCTGACTCCATCCCCAGCCCGGTAAGACACACACACACACACCCTAATCGTGGTAAGTCCTTTGATGTATAGTGTATTGGTGATAATGATGTTAGATATTGTACCGTGTGTGGGGACCAGAAGTCCTCACAAGGATAGTAAAACAAGGACATTTCGGACAAGTGATAACCGGTCCCCACAAGGAAAAATGCTATTTTAGAGTTCAGGTTACAATTAGGGTTAGAGGTTAGGTTAGATTTAGAGTTAGGGATAATGGGATGGTAAATCAATTCTTTGGTCCCTACAAGGATAGCAATACAAAACTGTGTGTGTGTGTGTGTGCATGTCAGTCTAACAGTGTAACCCAATCCAAGTTGAGCATGTACATCTGCTTGCCTTCTCTCTGATCACTGACTAATCTATAACCAATCATCACAGTCTGGACAATCAGTCAGGGAGTTGATAGTCCTGCTACAGAGTTATTTTCATCTTCTTGTCTCTCTGTCCCCTGTTTTTCTTTTGGTTTGTTTAATTTAATGATTTGCTGGACAAAACTCTGTTGTGAATGTAAAGCAAGCATCTGAGCTGCCGGCTGTGCAGAAATCCAGACATAGAATAGACCCAGATGCTGTCCCCAGTCCAGTAAGTCTCCTGTTTACCTCCTAACCCCTATGCCCAACCCCGTAAACCAGGGGTGCCCAACCCTGTTCCTGGAGAGCTACCCCCAGGTGTTACTAACCTGATTCATCTTATCAACCTACTAATTATTAGAATCAGGTGTGCTAGATTAGGGTTGGAGCAAAAACCTACAGGACGGTAGCTCTCCAAGAAAACGGTTGGGCAGTCCTGCCGTAAACCATTATCCTCCTGTCTACACCCTAACCCCTATGCCCTAACCCCTATCCCATACCCCTTAACCCATTATCCTCCTGTCTATGCCCTAACCCCGAAAACCATTATCCCCCTGTCTACAATACCCTAACCCCTACACCCTAACTACTTTGATATACCCCTTAACTAATCATCCCCCTGTCTACACCCGATGCCCTAATCCCTGACCCCAGCCCAGCAATCTTCTGTGTCGTCTCCGTCGGACTAACTGCTACACCCGTACCGTTTGAACCCTAACCCCCTGACCAGTGTTTCCGCTGCAGTCTTTTAGCTATGGCGCTGCGCAACGGCAAAATCTTTGCCACCACGGCCCAAAAAGATGGAACTTGAAAAAATATTTCTGCCGAGGCATACTTTGAAGATGCTAGAACAGTCCACATTTGACTTTCCCTCTGCAAACAAAACGAGATCCAATAGACAAAAATCCGACAACCCCGTAGTAGAATATTTGATCTGTTTACCTAGTTTGCTTGTGTGTTCTATGCGAGAGAAATATTCCTCTCGAAAGGCGCATTGAAGTGCCATAGGGATGTAAACATGCATTCGGACAAGCAGTAAATGCACAACAATTCTTACAATCGTGGGGAAAACAGCTGTTTTAATGGCTTTATTAAAATTATGACGTTCCCAGCCCTCCATTCCTACTTGATTTAATTCTCAACTCCTAAATATGTGCGAACTGCACCAATTTTTATACCCAGAGTTTTTAGCAGCGACATGGTTAAGCACGTTACCTCTCCTCAATTCGCTGTGAATGCATAGGGGAGAGTGGGGCAAAATGTAACACGGGTCAATTGTATCATAACTTGTAAAACGGCACCCTATTTTCATCCATTTTGGAGTAGAATGTCGATTTAAAAAAAGTGAGCTTCTCAGTCATACATAGAAATCCCCCCCCATCCGTGACCTTTTGCCCCCACTGCTACACATTTTCCAGAGGAAACACTGCCCTGACCCTCTGGAGCCCACCTTTGTCTCCGGGGGTAGACCATGCTCACTGTGCTGATACCCTCTCCCCTCCTCCTCGCATGCCAGCCTGCAGTATCTCGCTCACGACTCACCCACAATTCCTTGCGTTGTGAAGTTCGTCCACGATCATTCTACATTTGAGTGTTACGCCCTCTCTAGTGGTTTTGGTGTGTTGTGCACTGTACTCTACATTGTTGCCATGGTTGCTGTGACATTGTGTTAGTATTATGGGATTTAGGGCTGCACGATATGGGCAAAAAATCTAATAGAGATTTTTTTAACCAAATATTGCGATAGACATCAAAACACTGGAACTGTTGGAATCATAGAAATATATAGTACCAGTCAAAAGTTTGGACACACCTACTCATTCAAGGGTTTTTCTTTATTTTTACAATTTTTTACATTGTAGAAAAATAGTGAAGACATCAAAACTATGAAATAACACATATGGAATCATGTAGTAACCAAAAAAGTGTTAAACAAATCAACATATATTATATTTGAGATTCTTCAAATAGCCACCCTTTGCCTTGATGACAACTTTGCACAATCTTGGCATTCTCTCAACCAGCTTCACCTGGAATGCTTTTCCAACAGTCTTGAAGGAGTTCCCACATATGCTGAGCACTTGTTGGCTGCTTTTCCTTCACTCTGCGGTCCGACTCCAAAACCATCTCAATTGGGTTGAAGTCGGGTCATTGTGGAGGCCAGGTCATCTGATGCAGCACTCCATCACTCTCCTTCTTGGTAAAATAGTCCTTACACAGCCTGGAGGTGTGTTGGGTCATTGTGCTTTTGAAAAACAAATTATAGTTCCACTAAGCCCAAACCAGATGGGATGGCGTATCGCTGCAGAATGCTGTGGTAGCCATGCTTGTTAAGTATGCCTTGAATTCTAAATACATCACAGACAGTGTCACCAGCAAAGCACCCCCACACCATAACACCACCTCCTCCATGCTTTACGGTTGGAACTACTCATGCAGAGATCATCCGTTCACCCACACCGCGTCTCACAAAGACACAGCGGTTTGAACCAAAAATCTCAAATTTGTACTCCAGACCAAAGGACAGATTTCCACCGGTCTAATGTCCATTGCTCGTGTTTCTTGGCCCAAGCAGGTCTCTTCTTCTTATTGGTGTCATTTAGTAGTGGTGTCTTTGCAGCAATTCGACCATGAAGGCCTGATTCACACAGTCCCCTCCGAACAGTTGATGTTGAGATGTGTCTCTTACTTGAACTGTGTGAAGCATTTTTTTGGGCTGCAATTTCTGAGGCTTGTAACTCTAATGAACTCTGGGTAACTCTGGGTCTTCCATTCCTGTGGCGGTCCTCATGAGAGCCAGTTTCATCATAGCGCCTGATGTTTTTTTGCGACTGCACTTGAAAACTTTCTAAGTTCTTGAAATGTTCCGTATTGACTGAACTTCATGTCTTAAAGTAATGATGGACTGTTTTCTCTTTGCTTATTTTAGCTCTTCTTGCCATAATATGGACTTGGTATTTTACCTAATAGGGCTATCTTCTGTATACCCCCCCTACCTTGTCACAACACAACTGATTGGCTCAAACACATTAAGAAGGAAATAAATTCCACAAAATTGAACTTTTAAGAAGGCACACCTGTTAATTGAAATGCATTCCAGGTGACTACCTCATGAAGCTGGTTGAGAGAATGCCAAGAGTGCAAAGCTGTCATCAAGGCAAAGGGTGGCTATCTGAAGAATCTCAAATATAAAATATATTTTGATTTGTTTAACACTTTTTTGGTTAGTACATGATTCCATATGTGTTATTTCATAGTTTTGATGTCTTCACTATTATTCTACAATGTAAAAATAAAGAAAAACCCTTGAATGAGTAGGTGTGTCCAAACTTTTGACTGGTAGTGTATTTTATATTAAGAATCCGCATCGTTCTTTTTTTGAACAATCTGTTGACAGCGCCTGAGTAGAGGGAGAGAGGCGTTTCAAATTATTGTATGTGATATGGATATTGCACATGTCAATATTATTAATTGTGCAGCCCTATTATGGGATGGCATCACTGTTTTTCTTTTTAAATTAAATTTTACTCTCTCCCTGCATGTGTTTTCTATGCTCTGTCATATTCACATTAGTGTGTCTGTAAAACTCGCTTTCTCTCTGTATTTCAGATCCAGGTGATTGAGGACGACCGGGCCAACAAGAGCAGCGAGCCGTTCACCACGGGGGTCAAAGGTCAGACTCCGCCCCTGGTCACCACCAACTTCCAGGTGAAAGACCAGGGCAACGCCAGCCCGCGGTTCATCCGCTGTACGGCCTACAACATGCCCTGCACGGCCGACATGGCCAAACAGTCCCAGGTCCCCCTGGCCGCTGTAATCAAACCTCTAGCCGTGCTGCCCCCCGACGAGGTGAGACACACAAACCACACCGCTATCTCCTCTGGTCTGGTCTTCTCATCACACTCTCTCTCTCTCTCTCTCTCTCGTGTTAAACTTTCTATGAGCTTGAACTAGGCTATAAGAGTCTTAACAACCCTCTGTCTGTCTCTCAGACCCTGCCGTACATCGTGGACCATGGGGAGGCCGGTCCTATCCGCTGTAACCGCTGTAAGGCCTACATGTGTCCCTACATGCAGTTCATCGAGGGCGGACGCCGCTTCCAGTGTGGCTTCTGCAGCTGCGTCACAGAGGGTGTGTGTGCAGGAAGATATTGTGCTACTGTGTGGTTATTGTGGGTTATAACACCTCTCTATCTATATCCATCCATCCATCCACAGTGCCTCCCCACTACTTTCAACATCTGGACCACACAGGGAAGAGGGTGGACTGCTACGACCGGCCAGAGCTCTCGCTGGGCAGCTACGAGTTTGTGGCCACCGTCGACTACTGTAAGGTAGGTGACTACTGTGTTTTTATGAGAGACTGGAGGCCTGTAGCATTGCTCTATTTGGACCAGAAGATTTTCTCAAAGGGCCAGATGAGGACCAAGCTTGGCACATACCAGAGATTCTCATGATGTAATATGCTCAATATGTCTAGTCTAAATACTTGTCACTCTCTCAGAACAATAAGCTCCCCCAGCCCCCAGCGTTCGTCTTTTTCATCGATGTGTCTTACAACGCCGTGAAGAGTGGCATGGTCAACATCGTCTGTCAGGAACTCAAAACTCTACTGGACTACCTGCCCAGGTACAGACAGACACACACACACACACACACACTATTCACCCATGTAAACACACACACACACACACACACCAGCTAATTAACATTTTCTCTGTGTTCCCCCGCTCCATCTCTAGGGAGAATCCAGAGGCTGACTCGGTGGTGCGTGTGGGTTTTGTGACCTACAACAAGGTGTTGCATTTCTACAACGTCAAGTCCAGCCTGGCCCAGCCCCAGATGATGGTGGTCAGTGACGTCAGTGACATGTTCCTCCCTCTGCTCGATGGCTTCCTGGTCAACGTCAACGACAGCCGGATGGTCATCGAGAGGTATGCACACACACACGCATGCATATACACCAGAGCTCCAGACTAACATTTTCAGTTGGTAGCACCAGCCCATGATTTGGTCACAGCAAAAAAAAATCACGTAATAGATTTTTAAAACAAATATCATGGGGATATTCAAGGTGAGTAAAAGAGAAGAGCAGTCAATCAAACTCAATCTGGTCTAATACAAGTTGCAACAGGGAGACGCCTCCAGAACAGAAGCAGAGAAAATGTCTAACTCACCTTCTCTAAGCAGGCCTTTTATATTCTAATGTCACAGCACCAATGTTCTGTAAACACCAGCCTGAGAGGCTTGTCGGAAGTCACATCAGCTGCTACAGAATCACACAGTGTCACAGAATACAATAACAATCAGTGTCCTCTGTCCTTGGTACCTCCAGTCTGGCGTCAATCACTATCAACAGATCTGGGAACAAACCATAACATTCAGTATCAAGTTCTAGTGACCGTCAACCCATACACAAATGTGTACCATATAGAACACGGGAAGTCATGTGTATTTATTTGACATTTTGCAGGATGAAATGTCTTGAGATGCACCATCTCGTTTTCAAGAGTGTCAAATTGAAAAGGAGAAATAACACTTTTAACAAAATAATATGGCAACTACTGTATAACATTGTCAATATAAATATGAAAATACAGTGCATTCGGAAAGTATTCAGACTTTAGACACATTTTGTTACGTTACAGTTATATTCTAAAATGAAAAAAAAATTTCCTTATCAATCTACACACAATACCCCATAATGACAAGGCGAAAACAGGTTTTTAGAAATGTTAGCAAATGTATTAACTAAAAAATGTAAATACCGTATTTACATAAGTATTCAGACCCTTTTGCTATGAGACTCGAAATTGAGCTCAGGTGCATCCTGTTTCCATTGATCATCTTTGAAATGTTTCTATAACTTGATTGGAGTCCACCAGAGTAAAAACCAAGCCATGACGTCGAAGGAATTGTCCGTAGAGCGCAGAGACAGGATTGTGTCGAGGCACAGATCTGGGGAAGGGTACCAAAACATTTCTGCAGCATTGAAGGTCCCCAAGAACACAGTGGCCTCCATCATTCTTAAATGGAAGAAGTTTGAAACCACCAAGACTCTTCCTAGAGCTGGCCGCCCGGCCAAACTGAGCAATCGGGGGAGAAGGGCCTTGGTCAGGGAGGAGACCAAGAACCCGATGGTCACTCTGACAGAACTCCAGAGGTCCTCTGTGGAGATGGGAGAACCTTCCAGAAGGACAACAATCTCTGCAGCACTCCACCGATCAGGCCTTTATGGTAGATTGGCCTGAATGCCAAGCGTCACGTCTGGAGGAAATCTGGCACCATCCCTACGGTGAAGCATGGTGGTGGCAGCATCATGCTGTGGGGATGTTTTTCAGCGGTAGGGACTCGGAGACTAATCAGGATCGAGGGAAATATGAACAGAGCAAAGTACAGAGAGATCCTTATTGAAAACCTGCTCAGGACCTCAGACTGGGACGAAGGTTCACCTTCCAACAGGACAACGACCTTAAGCACACAGCCAAGACAACGCAGGAGTGACATCGGGACAAGTCTCTGAATGTCCTTGAGTGGCCCAGCCAGAGCCCGGACTTGAACCCAATCGAACATCTCTGGAGAGACCTGAAAATAGCTGTGCAGCGACGCTCCCCATCCAACCTGAAAGAGTTTGAGAGGATCTGCAGAGAAGAATGGGATAAACTCCCCAAATACAGGTGTGCCAAGCTTGTAGCGTCATACCCAAGACTCTAGGCTGTAATCGCTATCAAAGGTGCTTCAACAAAGTACTGAGTAAAGGGTCTGAATACTTATGTAAATGTGATATTTCAGTTATTTATTTATTATAAATGTGCAAAAAATTTATAAAAACCTGTTTTTGCTTTGTCATTATGGGGTATTGTGTGTAGATTGATGAGAGGAAAAAACAATTTAATCAATTTTGGAATAAGGCCGTAACGTAACAAAATGTGGAAAAGGTCAAGGTGTTTGAATACTTTCCGAATGTAGTGTAAATATGCTAAACATTGTGTTAATTACTCTTAACTGAATATTAACTTTATTCATCTTAAGTATTTCCATTAGTCCCCTGTTTTGCTAATTTGACATCACAGAAATAGAATGAATAGAACAGACGTCCCCATTCAAGTCAATGATGGCATAATGGGTGGACTTGGCAGCCCATTCTATATCTATGTTCTACATACCCCATCAAAGTGCCATGCGAATGACCAATCAGTATCTCAATGCATTGTCAAGTTTAAGATTACTACAGCTTTTCACAGTGTAGACCCCAGCTTGACTCCTCCCACCCGGCACTCAACCAAGCATCTCTTCAATTCAACTTCCAACAGCACAAATGAAACTGTCAGTGGCCCTTCCGATGTCCCAATATCAATGTCTAGGGAAAGTCTGATTTCCCTACCCGACAACCTGAGCTGCCGCAACCATCCTATGCTGACCATTCTGCATTGTCTGTTTTTGCCCAGGCACCGGCAACGTGAGAGAAGTTTAGATAAGATCTCGGCATGCCTGCGCCATGTGCTAAGTCTCAGGATACATGCAGCACTCCTGCGAGAAGGGCGGTCTATAGCTCAGATGCTGTACACAGGTTGCTTGGTTCAGGCTAGTAGTTGTGAGGGACAGAGCTGTAGTGGATGCCTTATCTTCAGCTGGTTAGAGTGTTGGGGTCTCACTGATCTGGTCAAATTCATCTGATGCATTAAAGGTACCATCTGGAGACTACATGGCCATCCTCTTGAGAAAAGGATCAGAATAATTAATTAGACCATGACAAACTCCAGTCTTGACACAACAGTCTTTAGTAAGAAACACATGAGCAGGCCATTATATTCTAATCTCGCAGCAACAATGTTCTGTAAACACCAGCCTGAGAGGCTTGTCGGAAGTCACATCAGCTGCTACAGAATCACACCGTGTCACAGAATACAATAACAATCGGATATGAGAACAATCCGTAACATTCCATATCAAGTCTAGTGACCATCAACCCCTACATAAATGTGTCCCAAATAGAACACTGGAAATCCTGTGTATAATTATGTTAAGCAATGTTAATTACTCTTTAACTGAATATGAACTTTTGTTCATCTTAAATATTCCCAATAAAGTAATAATCTTAGTCATTCAGTGCTTTAATTAAGACGTGTAATAGACTACTGAGATGGTATTCAATAAATAAGTTGTTTAATCTAACATGTTGTGATTGAAAATATTTTTATGCGCAACCTAATCCAGTGATTGTCATGAATTTCAGGTTGACAATAAGCTATTTCTATATTTTACTGTTAATATAGAGTTCAATGGAGATGAATTTGCCTACATCTTTATGTGTACTAATATCATGGGCTGCTTTTTGGGGGGCTAATTCACCACCTGAGTAAGTGGAAACTCCAAACACATGAGCTAGATCGCTAACTCTAAATATAATACCCAAAACACATGAGCTAGATCGCTAACTCTAAATATAATACCCAAAACACATGAGCTAGATCGCTAACTCTAAATATAATACCCAAAACACATGAGCTAGATCGCTAACTCTAAATATAATACCCAAAACACATGAGCTAGATCGCTAACTCTAAATATAATACCCAAAACACATGAGCTAGATCGCTAACTCTAAATATAATACCCAAAACACATGAGCTAGATCGCTAACTCTAAATATAATACCCAAAACACATGAGCTGGATCGCTAACTCTAAATATAATACCCAAAACACATGAGCTAGATCGCTAACTCTAAATATAATACCCAAAACACATGAGCTAGATCGCTAACTCTAAATATAATACCCAAAACACATGAGCTAGATCGCTAACTCTAAATATAATACCCAAAACACATGAGCTAGATCGCTAACTCTAAATATAATACCCAAAACACATGAGCTAGATCGCTAACTCTAAATATAATACCCAAAACACATGAGCTAGATCGCTAACTCTAAATATAATACCCAAAACACATGAGCTAGATCGCTAACTCTAAATATAATACCCAAAACACATGAGCTAGATCGCTAACTCTAAATATAATACCCAAAACACATGAGCTAGATCGCTAACTGTAAATATAATACCCACTGCTAGTATCAATATGTTAATCTAGAATGTATGTAAAAAAAAAACGACCCAATGATGCTGATGCGCATTTTGGCCGCTCCATAGGCCTATCTCAAAGATATATGAAATATCTGGGTTGTAAAATAGTTGCTATTGAGCTCGGTAATCAGAGTTGAGAAATGAATTATACTTACAGAAAGCTGAGAACCTCTTCTCTTCAACAGCGACGACAGTATTACACAGGATAGCAGTGTTTTCCCAGCAATTTGATTTTGAAATGTCATACAATCCGATTTTCTTTCCTTCCAGATCATTTTTTTTCACCCGGGAAAGGAGAGAGCGATTAGCTTCCTCGAACACAGTAGCAGGCCCCAGCAAAAAAGTATCAGCTGCAGGGCATAAACGTTCATTACAGGAATCATGAGGATAATGTACTTTACCGATTGACCAAATCATGGGTTTAACTCGCACAGCCAAGTCAAACGGTCGCAGTGTGGAGCCCTGATATTTCATCTGTCCAGTTCATCTCAACTGTTTATGTTGCATAGACCCCATTGTGTGTTTCAGTTTGCTAGACCAGATTCCGGAGATGTTTGAAGACACCAGGGAGACTGAGACGGTGTTTGGACCAGTCATCCAGGCAGGACTGGAGGCATTGAAGGCTGCAGACTGTGCCGGGAAACTGTTTGTGTTCCACTCCAGTCTGCCCATCGCTGAGGCTCCTGGGAAACTGAAGAACAGAGAGGACAAGAAACTGGTGGGAACAGACAAGGAGAAGGTACACTCTCTCACACACACACACACACTAACAAGGACAAGGTAAACTGATTGTAGCAATTAAAACACATAAAGAACCCCCATTTGAGAGAATGTGTTTTCTCTTGTATTGGTTGGGCAGTCAATGACTCTGTCAACGCCCCTCCCTCTCTCCCCTCCCCCCAGTCTCTGTTCCAGCCCCAGTCTGGTTTCTATAGTAACCTGTCTAAGGAGTGTGTAGCCCAGGGCTGCTGTGTGGACCTCTTCCTGTTCCCAAACCAGTACGTCGACGTGGCAACGCTTGGCGTGGTGCCCGTCTCCACTGGGGGCTCCGTCTACAAATACACCTACTTCCAGGTGAGAGAGACACATTTATACACACACTAGCGCTCATCCTAACGTCGTCCACCCTTCACCTGTTACCTGCCTTCACGCACTCTGTCTGTGTGTGTGTCAGGCTGAGACGGACCGCAAGCAGTTCCTGAATGATCTGCGGCGAGACGTTCAGAAGCCGATGGGCTTCGACGCTGTCATGAGGGTCCGAACGAGCACAGGTAGGTGTTTCTCTCTCTCTCTCACACACACGCTTCACCTAGTTTTAAATGGTCTTGTTTTGAGTGCTGTCATAACCTCCTACCTCTCTCCTCCAGGTATCAGAGCGACAGATTTCTTCGGCTCGTTCTTCATGAGTAACACAACAGACGTAGAGCTGGCAGGACTGGACTGTGACAAGACTGTTACTGTGGAATTCCGCCATGATGACAAGCTCAGCGAGGACACCGGCGCACTCATGCAGTGTGCGGTGTTGTACACCAGCTGTAGTGGTCAGCGGCGTCTGCGGGTCCACAACATGGCGGTCAACTGCTGCTCCCAGCTCGCCGACCTCTACCGGAACTGTGAGACGGACACCATCATCAACTTCATCTCGAAGTATGGTAAGTGTCACACACACTCTCTCCATCTATCCCCCTGTGCCTCTCTATGTCAGTGAAATGGTTTACTATGTTTCTGGATTACGTTACTAAGAGAAAGCATGTATAAAGGACAGCAAGGGTCCACTCAACAAACAACCAATTCTACTTCAGATGCGTTATAGCAGTCTGATAAGTAAGATTTAAACCAACTTCACGTCTGGAAATGGAAACCAATGGTTCTCTCTGTGTGTGTAGCGTACCGCAGCATATTGAACACCCCCACCAAGACTGTGAGAGACACCATGGTGAACCAGTGTGCCCAGATTCTGGCCTGCTACCGCAAGAACTGTGCCAGCCCCTCGTCTGCCGGACAGGTCAGTCAGTCACTCAGCTCCCCTCTTGGACAGGTCAGTGACACACGCATGATACACACACTCACCCGCTCACTAAATGCTCACCCCAACACCACACACTATGCCACTTACGTCAGTCAGTCACACACAACATACATATACACACATCTCCCACACTCAACAACTTACACACACACACGCACTCAGGGGCGTCATGCACCCATTATTTTAGAGTGGGCACAAAGTACGTGAGGATGGCGTTGCCCCATGTCCTGAAGTCTGGAAAATGTAGCATTTTTCCAACAGCTGAAACAGCTTTTTCCTGCAATCTACATTACAACACAGTACATGGGATCATAACACACATTATAAAACTGGTTGTTTGGATCCTTGGATGCTGATTGGATGAGCAGCGTTCCAAGCCGTTCTGTATTGGCCATCAAAGACACACCTATGGCTGCTAACAGTTCCATCTGAAAATGATCTCTGCGCCTCCATAAGAATATCATGTTCATGTTGCTGTCCGAATCATCTCAACTCTCACATTATTTCCCCTTGCTTCTAGCCTAGCATTTAGTTTGGTACAGCGGGGGTTAATATAAGCCTCGCTGTCTGAAAACAATGTTTCACTTTAGAATTTTGATCTCTGTAGTGCCATACATAGAGTGAAGGGTGCCCAGACAAAACAACTTTTACTGAGCCAGTCAAAATCACGCATCAACGTCATTTTCATGGACGTATCCAAGTAAATGTCAATAGATAAAACGCAGCAAGTGTACTGTCAATTCCAGGTTCAATGTTTGACGTGACTGAGTTAGCTGAAGTTGGCTAGCTAGCTAGCAAGTGACAAATGTTATTCCAGCCTGCATAGCAACCATTTTGTTTGGAACGGACAACCAGACCTTTTGCATAGCAACTAAGCAAAAGGAATTAACGACTGCGTCGCATCTGTAGCAACATGACCAAAAGACTATATCTTCTGGTGGAAGAATGAAATTGAATGAATTCACTTATCAAAATAAGGTTTTAATGAAAATTGAAAAATGAAAATGTGTTATTTTAATGTTGGTAACATTAAAAGCAGTAAAGCTATGGCGTTGCGCCGAACAACGCCATTTGCCTGTGACTGCATTCATGATACAGCACTGCCTCGTGTGCCTTTATAGCTTAATCATCAATACAGGCACATATCATAAGGTGCCAGATTACATTTAAACCAAGTATTTTTCTGAATATCTAAGCATACAATACCTTCAGAAAGTATTCATGCCCCTTGACTTATTCCACATTTTGTTGTTACAGCCTGAATTCAAAATTGATTAAATTCATTTTTCTCACCTGTCTACACACAATACCCCATAATGACAAAGTGAAAACGTGTTTTTAGACATTTTAGCAAATGTATTGAAAAATGAAATACAGAAGTCTAATTTACATAAGTATTCACACCCCTGAGTCAATACTTTGTAGAAGCACCTTTGGTAGCGATTACAGCTGTGAGTCTTTCTGGGTATGTCTCTAGGAGCTTTGCACACCTGGATTGTTGAATATTTGCCCATTTTTATTATTTTCTAAATTCTTTTAGCTCTGTCAAATTGGTTGTTGATCATTGCTAGACAACCATTTTGTTAAGAGAATTTCTATCTCTAATTCAACCTAAGCTTGAATCATTACCAGAGGTTGTAAGGCTCTGGTTTTAATCATACATGATTCAAGGTCCACAACCAGCTAGAATGATCTGTATTTTTATTCATGGAGAGCTCTGGCGCCAAAACCCATACCCTCCTGTTTTATACCCCTTGACACACAAAGGCACTTTGCTCCGCCCACCTTTAGGAGGCTTTCTTAAACAGTTTCCACCTTTCTCCTTCACCCTGGAATGTTTAGTCCCGCCCCCCTCTGTTAGTGGGTTGATAATTCTAACACAGTTTACAAATTTTTACTGTATTTGGGGTGAAATCCTTTAGTCATTATTCTTAAAATACAAATTAATCTAACACATTTTCAGGTCTTGCCATAGATTTGCAAGTAGATTTAAGTTAAAACTGTAACTCGGCCACTCGGGAACATTCACTGTCTTCTTGGTAAGTAACTCCAGTGTGGATTTTGCCTTGCGTTTTAGGTTATTGTCCTGCTGGAAGTTGAATTCATCTCCCAGTGTCTGGTGGAAAGCGGACTGAACCAGGTTTCCTCTAGGATTTTGCCTGTGTTTAGCTCCATTTCGTTTCTTTTTATCCTGAAAAACTCCCCAGTCCTTAACGATTACAAGCATACCCATAACATGATGCAACCACCACTATGCTTGAAAATATGGAGAGTGGTACTCTGTAATGTATTGGAGTGCCCCAAACATAACACTTTGTATTCAGGAGAAAAAGTTAATTGCTTTCCCACATTTCCTCAGTGGGTGGACCTGGCTCCCAAGTGGGTGGGCCTATGCCCCCAGGCCCCATGGCTACGCCCCTGCCCAGTAATGTGAAATCCATAGATTAGGGCCTAATTTATTTATTTCAATTGACTGATTTCCTTATATGAACTGTAACTCAGTAAAATCGTTGAAATTGTTGCATGTTACTATTATATTTTTGTTCAGTATAGATAATTGTATGTGTGGGGTACAGAGATGAGGTAATCATTCAAAAATAATGTTTAGCACCACTATTGTTGCACACAGATTGAGTGCATGCAACTTTTATTATGTGACTTGAACCTATTTAGGCTTGCCATAACAAAAATTTGTAAAAAGTCAAGGGGTGTGAATACTTTCTGAAGGCACTGTATATCAAATAATTTACAAATATCCTGCGAGTCCTTCCCATCACCGGCAGCTAAAATCAAATTAAATGCTTTGTGTCACTCTACACTCTTACCCTCCTCCACCGACAATACAGTCTGCATGATCTCCGTGGTGCACTTACTGGGTGGGGTGGGGTGGGGTTACTCTTTGTCTGGTCCAGTCAGTGTGTCCCCTCTGCAAAATACCGCTGACAGAACTTAAAAACAAAGTTTAGTAATGAATTTAACATCTGAAAATGTAAACAGGACATCTGAGTGGGCACGTGGGACGTGACGCCTCACACCCTTCCCCTCTGTCCTTTCTCCTTCTGTAGCTGATCCTACCAGAGTGTATGAAACTGCTGCCAGTCTATTTGAACTGTGTGTTGAAGAGTGACGTGCTGCAACCGGGAGCTGACATCTCATTAGACGACAGAGCCTACCTGAGACAGCTGCTCAGCTGTATGGACGTATCAGAGAGCCACATCTTCTTCTATCCCCGCCTACTTCCCCTGGTGAGACACACGCTGCTCTCCAACTCTCTCTCTCGCTCAGTTCACTTCAATCAGCCTCATTTTGCATGACAAGGCATGAGCAAACATGTAAGAACATATTACATCAATGTTAAATCGTATTTTAATCAAATCCCTTTTCATCCCAGGTGAAGTTGGATGGAGGGTCGTTGCCCATGGCAGTGCGTAACTCGGAGGAGCGCCTGTCAAAGGGCGGAGTCTATCTCCTGGAGACAGGGCTCCACCTGTTCCTGTGGGTGGGAGCCAATGCCCAGCAGGAGCTGCTCAGCAACATATTCGGCACGCCCACCTTCAGCCAGATAGACCCCAACATGGTGAGACCTCAACTTCATACAAATAATTTTCTTGCCTCGAAGTGTGTGTGTGTGTGTGTTGATCTTCTAAATGTATGTGATGTGTTCCAGACGAGTCTGCCGGAGCTGGACAACCCGTTCTCCCAGAGACTCCGAGAGATCATCGACTCCTTCAGATCACAACGATCACGATACATGAAGGTCAGACTTCACTACCAATCTCGTTCTCTCTCTCCCTCGTTCTTCCTGTATCTTTCCATCTCTATCTTTCTCTGTGTTGTAGTTAGAGTATAAGGTGTGTTAACGTCTTTCTCTGCATGTCTCTAGTTGATGGTGGTGAAGCAGGAGGACAAGGCGGAGCTAATCTTTAAACACTACCTGTGCGAGGACAAGAGCGTCAGCGGAGGAGCTTCCTACGTCGACTTCCTGTGTCACATGCACAAGGAGATCCGCCAGCTGCTCAGCTAGGACCCTTGACCTCTGACACTTCAACCCAGTCCCCCCCCAGGCGCTTTATCTTTTATTGACCTAATAAACTGAACCCCTCTCCCTCTGTCAGCGAGAAGCCAGAGACATATACACAGCCTCATGGCAGATTCCATGTCATCATTCGACTCTAAACTATTCCAAATGTCAAGCTCTAAAACAACTGGAGCTGATCCACTGGCCAACGGAGGAGGTAGATTGTGTGTGTGTGTGTGTGTGTGTGTGTGAGAGTGTGTGTGAGTATATGCGAACGTGTGTGTGTGAGAGGGAGATAACTGCTGTTGATTGTACTAGGTGTTCTGTCTGTAACACTAGCACTGAAGCCCGTTGTGGGTGTACTCACCGGCCCGCTGGTAGAAACACTTTTTGTTTTTGTACGATTCAGACCCAGTAGAGCTAAGGAAGATGACATAAACTAGACATAAATAAATGAAATAAATGCTGTTTTTCCATCTCTAGAGTTATTTTTCTATTTGTCTTATTCTCTCTCCCTCTCAGACATGGCCTTGCTCCCTCCTCCTGTGTATTGTGCTCCTCTGTGACTTTTAGAAACACTAAGGCAATAGGAGAGAGGGAGGAGTGTATAGAGATAATCTGTGGTGATTGGTTAAACTCCCAATAAATGTCTATGCATCGAATCATCCAGACAGGCGAGTGGTTTGAACTTTCACCTCTGACACCCGAACAGGGTCAACCAGCGTTCGGTCCCACTGTCTCACACAGGCACACAGTATAGACGGTTTGGTGGAGGTGTGTGTGTGTCATGTTGTCTTTACTAATGTGTGCATCGGATAAGAGACCATTCTGACACTGATGCCTGTTCCCTGTGTGTCTTCCTGGCTGTATTGTCTTGTCTGTGGGGGGAGGGAGTGACTGGCGGCGCTTCTCTGTTGAGGTCAGTCAGAAATTGGAGAAAACTATTTGAAACAAGGAAGTATATGTTTTCTTTTTCGTAGCAGAATGTTTTGCTACGTTGTCCCTTGCTGAACACGACCTGTGCTCTAAATACAGCTGTGTCTGAGTTGTCACCCTAAGGACTGTCTGCTGTAGCACCTCAGTTCATATTTACATATATAATCTGCATATATAACCTGTACAGAATTAAATCCTCCATTTTAAACACCTGTCTCAAATGCTGTGGTTTGTTAGTGTGTGTGTGAGAGAGAAAGGTGGATGTGTGTTTCTGAAGGCAGATCATGGTGAATTTCTCTACAGAGGAAAAGAGGGATCTGCCAATAGGTACACACAGAAGGGGTGAAATTTCTTTTCTGATTATGCATTTGTTTTCTTTCTTGTGTCTTTAACACATTTTGTGTTTGTGATGTCCTCTACTTCAACCTGTCTCTCTGTTGAATGGCCCTTCTTTCTGACTGGGATTTTAAGTTTCCCTTTTCTTTGATTTTGTTTTTGTCATTGTCTCTTGGACTCTTTAAATAAAGTTATTGTTGAATCACCATGCCATGCTCCTCCCATCCGTGCTCTCATTGGCTTGTTGGTACTATGGTTACAGTACACTCTAAAGGCGTCAGCATGCTTCCCAGCCAAAACATTTCGGAATAGTTTGTGCGTATATTAGGATGATATTTTGTGACGTTTTTGTTAGTATTGTACTTGGGTAATGTTATTTTCGGCTGTTCGGGCACAATTTATTTCTTGAGGCAAGCCGAAGTCAGTAGCAGAATACGCCCCTTCGAAATCTGAATAACAGATTTCTTGAGTTATCTTATACTGAACAAAAATATAAACGCAACATGTAAAGTGTTGGTCCCATGTTTCATGAGCTAAAATAAAAGCTTATTTCGCTCACAAATTAGCTAAAAGGGTTAAGGTTAGGGGAAGGGTTAGCTAACATGCTAAGTATTTCAAAGTGGCTAAAAAGTAGTAAGTAGTTGAAAAGTTGCTAATTAGCTAAATGCTAAAGTTGTCCATGTTGAGAATCACACTCGCAACCTTTGGGTTGCTAGATGTTCACGTTATACACCCACCCTACGTTCTTTGTAACCGCACCCCCGCAGAAATCTAATTAGAATAATTTTAAAATCTCCACAAAAATCTGTCAATTTAAACTAGATTCTTTTTTTTTGCATTGCATGTGTCGCAATCCACCGCATCCGCCTATGTCGCACTTCCACATCTGCAGTGAAAGGTGACAGAGCTAGAGGTTGTTTGTCAGACCCTGAGATCCCGAAAATCGGTCTTCTCACAAAGTCGACTGTAGCGTCCGAACGGTTTGGCCTACAAACTATTATGACCCATCTATGGAAAGATGAGACTCTCACTAACACAATGGTGTTAACCGCCAGACCTCTGTCTGCAGCTTCCGAACCGTTTGGGCTATGACCCTTTGGGTATATGACACCTCCGCAGGGGACGGCTTGTTCAATAGGGCGATATGGGCGACGCACTGCCAAACGGGAAAAGGAAGGGATTTTTTTTCTAATCAATTATATCACGGCAACAGTAGTTATCAGTGTTGTAATCTGATCTGACTGCCACTAAATGTCAAATCAGGCTAAAGTCGTGCTTCAAATGGCCCCGCCCGTTTTTGGGCGATTTCAGTCAGGTTGAAAATCGCCCAGAAGTCTCTCATAGCCTGTCATGTAAAATCTATTTTTTTCAAATTTCAAAGCTTTCAATACATTCTCTATGGGTGTCTGTGGGCTTGCACTTACGCGCTTTCGTCATACGTGACGTAACCATGAACGTAACTAAGCAAATAGCGGCTAGCAGCGTCTCTTTGCGACCTGCAGTGTGGCGTTATTTTATGTTTTTAATTTGTACACTTAGTGGCGTTATTTTATGTTTTTAATTTGTACACTTAGTTTACAAACATTCTGCCAACCATGGATTTCGAGTGGTGGGTTTTGGACTGATCTTGTTGATCGTGTACATACCCGCTACGAACGGACTAAATAATGAAAACGTTGCTGGCAGCGGAATCCAATACAGCTGGGAGACTTGGCTGGATGACAGAGTCCCGGACAGAGAAGTGGAGCCGGCCGGCTTCACCCTGGTCGGAGCGGACCTCGATCTGACAGTCACAGGGAAAATCGATCCTGGTAAGAGAGCGACTCTGTACCCCCGAGCCCCGACATTGAACTGCTTTCTGTGTCACTGTGACCTTACTATCTGCCCCGTGAGTTCCCCCAATTGTTTGTTACCGTTGTGTACTGTTGATAATCACAAGTTTACTGGAGAACTGAGACCAAGTAGAGACTTTGGACAGGGTGGATATGGTATAATAAAGGCAGTTTATTCAGAGGTAAAGATATCTGGAATCGCGTGCACGGACTCGTTCGTCAAACTCTTAGGGAGCTATCTGAAGAGAGCCCCGAAAACATTGTGTGCTGACATTTTATACAATAAATGATGTAGGTTGAATCTAGTAGTTCTGATCTTCTGATTGGTCCTGATGAGTTGGGCGAGGTCCCCTCCACTGTTGCATTGGCTCTGAGTCGGGTTCTCTGTCTTCAAATGTTCAGCCTAAAGAGAGGGGATTTTTGTGTGTGTGTGTGTGTTTAACAGTGATGATGTGTGTGTGTGTGTGTGTTTAACAGTGATGATGTGTGTGTGTGTGTGTGTTATCAGTGATGATGTGTGTGTGTGTGTGTGTGTCCTCAGAGCAAGAACTCGTGAGTTGGAAGAACTGAGAGACCTATGGCGTGGGTGTTGTCCTTGGCCACCTGCTGACAAGGCTGACAAGATAGGACTCTTTTGTCCATTGTTATAGGATAGGAACAGCATTGATTGAAAACAAATGCCCAACACAAAATGGGTCATGCACAAGATTTTAGTCAGACCAAGCTATAACATTATATATTTACTACGACAGTACATTCAACCAAAAGCTAATATAACAAAGGCATCAGAGATTATTTATAATCTGTCACAGAAACTGGAATCCATCTCCCCAGATCAGTCAATAAATGCTTCTGGTATTGACTTATATGCTGCCCCTGTCTTCATGTTGTTGCTGGACATATCTTTTTTAAAATGTGTGTAGGTCACCTAAATCATCAGAAAAATTGCCCCTCCTGAGAATTTTTTCAGGAGCCGCCACTGCACCTCCGTGCAAAGGTGAGACTCTCACAAACATGTACATGCCGGTTGTTTTACCCACAGGCCTCACAAGACTCATCTGAAGGTCCCCTGGTACCAGTTGAAAAAATGAATGGAAGTATATAATGGAGACTGTTTAATGCCAAGAATATGGGGTTAAATACATGTACAAATATATATATATACAGTGGGGGAAAAAAGTATTTAGTCAGCCACCAATTGTGCAAGTTCTCCCACTTAAAAAGATGAGAGAGGCCTGTAATTTTCATCATAGGTACACGTCAACTATGACAGACAAAATGAGATTTTTTTTCTCCAGAAAATCACATTGTAGGATTTTTTATGAATTTATTTGCAAATTATGGTGGAAAATAAGTATTTGGTCAATAACAAAAGTTTCTCAATACTTTGTTATATACCCTTTGTTGGCAATGACACAGGTCAAACGTTTTCTGTAAGTCTTCACAAGGTTTTCACACACTGTTGCTGGTATTTTGGCCCATTCCTCCATGCAGATCTCCTCTAGAGCAGTGATGTTTTGGGGCTGTCGCTGGGCAACACAGACTTTCAACTCCCTCCAAAGATTTTCTATGGGGTTGAGATCAGGAGACTGGCTAGGCCACTCCAGGACCTTGAAATGCTTCTTACGAAGCCACTCCTTCGTTGCCCGGGCGGTGTGTTTGGGATCATTGTCATGCTGAAAGACCCAGCCACGTTTCATCTTCAATGCCCTTGCTGATGGAAGGAGGTTTTCACTCAAAATCTCACGATACATGGCCCCATTCATTCTTTCCTTTACACGGATCAGTCGTCCTGGTACCTTTGCAGAAAAACAGCCCCAAAGCATGATGTTTCCACCCCCATACTTCACAGTAGGTATGGTGTTCTTTGGATGCAACTCAGCATTCTTTGTCCTCCAAACA